GAAGGAAATGACAAACCACTCCGGTATCTTTGGCAAGAAAACTACAAATGAGGTCAAGAAGAGTTGGACACAATTGAAATGATTGAACAACAACAAATCTGATCTATGAATTAAGAGTTCATAATCCAAGGTGCTCTCAAGCTAAATTTATTCTAAAGATTAATGATATACAAAGAAAATATCACTAACACTCTGAAAATTTCTGTAAGACAGAGAGAACATTGTTGAAAAGTTCCTCAGTAATACAAAAAGAAAGAAAAAGAAAAGGAGCTAGAATTGCTCTCTTATAACTGAAACAAATACCCAAGATTTAAAGGTACTGGAAAACTGCAGAAGAAAGCAGACTAGTTCTAGAGTCAGAATCTGGGCTTAGCTTCTTATTCACTGCATGAGCTAACACAAATCCCTTCTCCTCTCTAGGTCTCAGTTTCCTTATCTGTAAAATGAAGGATTAATGGGCTAAGGGATTTCCAAGTTCCATTTGAGCTCTTCAGTTTTATGGGTATAAAATACATCACATTAACATAGTACTATATGATTTACAAAGTACTTTCCTTACAACATATGCAATGGGGCATTCTTTTTTTTTTACATGTAAATATTTTGAGAACTGCATTTCAATATAATTAGTTTTCTTTGTAATTTCACATATTTTTATACATTTAAAAACATTCTTCTGAGAAGGGATCTACATAGGACCAGGGTTCATAATTGATATATGATTTTTATAGGTCAATAAGCTTCATCAGACTATACAAAGGATTCTTGGAAGAAAAAAAAGGTGAAGGACTTGGAACAAAAATGAGGAGACATGGGCAGGGTCAGATGTCATCATGTCACAGTTTGGTCAAGGACCAGTGTTCATAATTTTCTAATAAAAAAAAAAGAATGCCATTTATTTGTGTTCCTATCTCCCCACACAAATATGTTAGCATAACTCACAGAAATGGTTGGGAAGCTCCAGGCAAGCACAAATCCACCTGGGAATGTGAAAATCTAGCAAAGCATTATGATCATAATTTCCTACAAAGAACTAGAATGTTTCTATGCAATGCTTTTAAGCTCAGATACCATTTCACAAATTAGTCCCCAAAGATCTAATCCGAATGCAACAGACCCTCAGAGAGTTTGGCCCCAAGAGAGGAAAAGGTGACATTCCACCCAGTGGAAGAAAAATAGCTTTTTTTTTTTCAGACATGATTCAATCATGGCTGTAACAACAGTGCCTAAACACTCAAGTAAAAGGGAAAGTGCAGGGGAAGCTGCCAGTTAATATTCTACCACTTGTCTTTGCACACAGGTCTACCCAAGAAAGGAAAATAAGGAGCAATGAGATACTTTATGGGGAAAGAGCCCCAGACACCAAATCCGAAGACCAGACCAGCAATCCTAGCTTTACCCCTTACCTAGATATGTAACTTTGGGTAAGACCTAAACCTTGGTTTTCTTCTCTGTAAAATGAGTGTTAAGACTTGCCCTTCTTACCTCATAGAATTATCCAGAGGGAAGAGGCAGAAAAAAACTATAGAGCACTAGGGATAATAGCTAACATTTATATGGTGTTTACTGTATGCCAGGCACTGTGCTAAACACTCTACAATTATCTTATTTGATCCTCACAATAACCCTGAGAAATAGATACTATTATTATCCTCATTTCACAGATGAGGAAACTGAGGCTGAGAGGGGTCAGTTAGTGACTTTCCGAGGGTCACACAGCCAATAAGTGTTTTAAGACTGGATTTCAAACTCAGGTTTATTCTGACTCCAGATCCAGCTCTCTAACCATTGTACCACCTAGCTGTTTCTACTGCCACAAGGGACTACTAAAATCTATTGGGCTGTGTGGAAATAGGTTTTATATGGGAATTTGTGCAGATTTCAGATCCAAGTGACTACTAGCTCTTAATAACATTTTCTGGTTTAATCCAGTTTGGTTTTAACAGCTTCAACTTTGAAGTTTTAAGTCCAAATCCCCATTTTTGCAAAGAAGAAAATTAAGGTCTAGAGAGGTTAAGGTACTTCCCCAAGAATACACAGATGGTTAAACCTCTTTAGCTCTGAGTGGCCGAGCAGGGCCTTTGACCTTAATTTCCTGCTCTTTGTTAGCTGGCATTAGCCATGGGCTTCATTATTATTTTCCCAAGGGTGTAAAGTATGGCACCGTGGAAAGCCCACTTGACTTGGACTGGCAAAACCTGAGGAAATTGCCCCTCTGAAACTTGGGTCACATAGGCGGCACTGTTGACAGAGCACTGAGCCTGGAGTCAGGATAAATGAGTTCCAATCCAGCCTCAGGAACTCACTGGCCATGTTCAGTGACTGGGCAAGTCACTTAACCAGCCTCAGTTTCCTTACCAATAAAAGGAAGATGATAATAACAACTGCCTCCTAAGGTTGTTATGAGGATCAAATGAAATGATAATTTACAAGTGTTTAACACACTGCCCGCACATTTTTGCTGTTCTTTGGTCACTTTTCAGTCATTTCCAACTCTTTATGATTCCATTTGGGTTTTCTGGGCAGAGGTACTAGAGCGGTTTGCCATTTTCTTCTCCAGCTCATTTTACAGATGAGGAAACTGAGGCAAATGGGGTGAAATGACTTGCCCAGGGTCACACAGCTAATAAGTAAGTGTCTGAGGCCAGATCTGAACTCAGAAAGACAAGACTTCCTGACTCTAGGCCCAGCATTCTATCCACCCTACCACCTAACTGCTCATATAAATGTTAGCTACTGTTATTCCTAGCCCTGTGACTCCTCTGAGCTTATTTTCTCTCTAAAACAATTTGTTTCTACAAATGCTATGAATGTCTATTCCACAGAGTGGTGGGGTGTATGGTGATTGTTTTCTTTGGAGGGCAGGTTGGTCACAATTTGTGTTTTCTCTGGTGCGTAGGATGAGGATGCACGCTTTCCAATGACCAACGTTCATGAAACTCAGAGAGCTGCCTGGGGCACGGAGAATGAGAGCAGGTCACAGGGCCAGTTTCTGTTGGAGGCACAGTTTACCTTAGGTCTGACTCTCCATCCAGTGCACCACACTGTCCTCCCCTAGGGTTGTTAAGAGGTACACATGAGACAATACGCATTAGGTGCTTTACAATATATATAAATGCATATGTAAATGACAGGTAGAAATGTCAGGTGCTTTTATTTCCTTCTAATGTTCATTTTTAAATCGCATTCGTATTGAAAGGGCAGAACTGTTTTAAGCTGATAGAATCAATTTTGAAAGGTAACATGAAGAAATGGACAGTGAACTGGCTTCAGAGTCAGGAAACGGGGGTTCCAGTTCTATTTCTAACACATGCTGGCTGTTTGATCTTGGGCAAATTCTCGGTAACCCAGACATCTCTCTAAGCCTATAAATAATAGAACATTTTTGGTAATTGTTCATCTGAAAAAGCAGAAGGAATTTCCCCACTAGAAGGAAAATCAATCAATTCTACCTACCTATTGTGAGGTACATTAAACCTTATTGTATAAGTTGCTTTCTCTCTGTAATGTATGCATACATGTCTATATGTAATGTTTAATGTTTAAATGTAAGCACATAGGCTTGTATATATGCATCAATGTATATCCTCCACTAAGCTATTCTGATGTTTCATTGCAGGTTAGAAGTAACCCCACATTCTCAAAGCCTATGTCAGGTGAATGTGGTTTCTGATTCTTTGTGCTTCACCAGAAAACTCTGAACATGGGCCTGGTAATAGATGCTATGCCCAGCACCAGAGAACCTGCCTAAGTTCAGAGAAGCTCATCACCAGAAAGTTAGCCATTGAGTGATGAAATTTGGTGATCACAGCAGTTTCAAGGAACTGGCTACTAAAGCATGGAGAAGTTTCACAATGCTTTGATAGATGGAGTAGCCACCCTGAAGATTTCCAAGAGACTTGAAGCATTGAAATAAACATCTACATATATATGTTTCTATGCTCATTTTGGATGCTCACCTTGAAAAATCACTAGACAGCAACAGTTCTAATGAATAATTTAAAGCCTTGCCACACCAAAATAAATCACCTCTCATACACCGTATAGAATATAATTTTTGTCTGTTCAATTATAAACCTAATTTTACCACTGCATGTTCTAAACCATTTCTCAATTCTGAAAGATAAGACTATTAGACAGAGGGGTTCTTAAACTTTTTGTGAATGTCATGGATTTCTTTGGCAGTTGGGTGAAGTCTGTGTGCCCCTTTCTCAGAATTAGGTTTTTAAATGCATAAAATAAAACACATGGTATCATGAAAGAAACCAATTACATAGAACTACTGTTATAAAAATATTTTTAAATGCATTCACGTACCCCAGATTGAGAGCCCCTGTTAATGAGATATATTGACAATAGAAAAACCATTTTTCTTTAACACTTAAACTTTTTTGTTTAAATTGTTCTCAAATCAGTGCAACCATTGCTACTTTATAAGTTGTCTTCCAGGAAGCAAAAGAATGTGAAATTCAGAGGCCCTGGAACCTGTATAGTTTTCCTGCTCTTCTAGGCATATGCTGTGACTAAGGTTCAGAAGTTTTCCCTGAGAGCAGGAAAGAATATCAGGAAAGATCACAAAACCAATTGGCATAGTTGTCCCTTCAGACCTTTACAAATAAAATCATCAGGAGCAGAAGGACAGATGGTCCATATATACAGTAGCGCATGAGTCTATATCTATCTCAATGATTTACATTTCATGTTTGCTGATGGGTAAATAAACACCCATTGAACACAGGCCCTGTCACCCAAGAAGCAGAAGTAAGGCTGCAATTCCTCTAGGTTGTGCATGTCAATCACCTACCCTTATCAGTTCTCCGTCCAACAATTAGAATTAGAAAGCTGGGCTGGAAAAGTGATAAGGGGAAGTGACCGGCTATGGAAGTTTTGTTGGATGAACCTTGGGGAGAGAGAGAGTGAAAATTGACATTTTAAACCAACATTTAACCCCTAGACACCCCTGCCCATGCCCCACAATCCCACCTCTGAAAACCTGCCGTCACCCATTTTCTCTTTCCTCTGGTCACCATCTAGGATGAGTTCCCGCCTTTTTGAGGAGAAGGAATCTTCTAAAGATGAGAGATGCATCGTGCGGTTGGTTACATGCACCAGTTAGAGTTCTGCAGAAACCTATGTTCACACAGTACTAGAGATCTACAAAATAGTTCTAAGTTCTTTTCATTAAAAAAAAAATTGTGCTCTTTGCCCATATAAAAAGTCTCCCACAGGAAAGTCTTGGGCAGTGAACACGCCCAATTTTCCTTTCCAATACTCTGGGCTATTTCTTACAGCTAGGGACCATTCATAAGTTATCCAACTTTGAGTCTCCTCCTTTAAATGATCAGGATTGGTCCTTGAGAATTTCTTGCTTCAGGCAAGGGCCTGTCTGCTGAAAAACCTGTCTCTGAATGGAAATGTTAAATTTGGGGTCATATCTTAATGTGATTAGTCCAGGGGTGGAGTTTGGGCTCCAGGGATTAATGTTAAATATGTGATCAGCTAATGCATCATGCCACCTTAACCCTTGCCTAGTTCAGTTCAATGAATGATGCAAAAAAATATTTTTATGGTTTGTTTCTTTGAAAACCCAAAGCATGGACATTTCTGTCACCTGTGGGAACCATAATGAAATTAAGGAGGTCAGACTAGATTTAATTCAAATGAATTCAACAAACATTTATTAAGTATATCTGTATTTTTTTTACAATCTTCAGGCTTTCAAATTCCAAATTCATTTTCAATTTCCAAGCAACTTTCTGTCTCTAGAAAGACTATATTCTTATGATGTATGTGTGTGTGTGGGTGTGTGTGTGTCTATACAACGTTCTCATAGTGAATTAAATGCCTACCATGTGCAAGGCATAGGATTCAAAGATAATAAAATAATACCTGCTCTCAGAGAGCTTACATTTTACTGGAGGAGTGAGGGGAAGAATGATCTCTGAGATCCCTTCAGGCTCTGAATTCTACGATTCTATGACCTTTTGGTATGTCCCTAGGGAAGGCAAGGAGCAATCCATTGACTTGTAGTTTGCCTGGACAGCTGCTTCCCAGAGTCATGGTGGAACAGCCAGTATTGATGTAAAAAAAGCCGATGATTATCTAAGGCGAGGATTTTTAATCTAGGGTCAATGACCTTTTAATGTAGTCTGATAACCATATTTCAGTATAATTGGCTTCCTTCATATTTTATGTATTTAAATTCTATGTATTTAAATGCATATATTTAAAAACATTATTTGGAGGAGTCTATAGGCTTCACCAAACTGCCAGAGGGGTTAATGCAGGGGTGGGGAACCTGACCCTCTATGTCTTCAAGTGTGGCCTTTTGACTTAATCCAAACTTCACAGAACAAATCCCCTTCATAAAAGGATTTGTTCTGTAAGACTTGGAGTCAGTCAAAAGGGCTGCACCCAAGCACCTAGAAGTCCACATGTTTACTCAAGGCTGCAGGTTCCCCACCCCTGGGTTAATGATTCAAAAAAAAAAAAGGTGAAGAGCACCTGATCTAAGGCAAACTCCCTGAACTCTGATGTTCATTCAACTTCAAGATATGAAAAAGTCAAAATTTCACAAACTTATCAATTATAATGCCTTGGGGAGCTGCTAATTAAGCTGCCTTCCATCATATGAGGAAGCACTAATTAATTAGGATGATACATTTCTGGCCATAGGTCAGTGTTCCACTGCCCTCCTTGTGGTAAATGATGCATCCTGGGTTATTGTCCTTTCTCTACCACTAATTAGCCTCATGATTGAAAACTAGTCACTTCACTCTTGGGACCTCAGTTTCCTCATTTGTAAAAGGAGGAGACCAAGTCTGGTCTCCTCAATCAGAAATGGTATCTCTAGTTTCTGAAAACATTATAAATGCTTCAGTGCCTCATACTAGGCAGCAAAACTAATTCCAAGAAATTACACCAATATTAGCATGATTATTCAGAGAGGCACTAATGTGGATTTTAACACACAAAATTCTTGTAAAAAGAGAGCCTAGCATAGTGGATAAAGAGCTGGCCTTGAAACCAGGAAGATCTGAGTTCAAATTCTTCCTCTGACACATGCTAGCTATAGGACTATGAGCCAATCTCTTAACTTCTCAGTGTCTTCATGCAATTCCATAAGATTCTAAATTGCAGGTGAGTTACAGATCACCATTTGGAGAGAGAGCTCCCCATACCCATAAAATCACAGATAGGGAGCTGGAAGAGAAAAATAATTGTGTAGAAACCACACAAAATTCAATCTTTGTAAAGACAGAGCTCTGCCTAGGAATTGGAAATGAATTCAGAATTTGCAAACCTGAAAGCAATTACAAAAATAAAGATTTGCTTTTCCTTAGCAATCTAAGGATTCATTCTTTTGGTGTGGTCTATTGTGAAGAACACAAGCCCTCAAGTCAAGAGAGGCAGGTTCTAGTCTATGCTCTTTGAGTAAATGACTGTGTGACCTTTTCTAAGTCAGTTGATCTCCTTGGCTCTAAGTTTCCTGATCTGTAAAATGAAGAATTTCAACCAGATTAGGGGTTCCTAACCTGGTGTCTGTGAACTTTTTAATAAATATATTTTGACAACAAATTTCAACTTCATTCATTTCCTTTACAATCCTATGTATTTTATTTTATTCATTTAAAAAACAGGGGGAACCATAGGCTTCACCAGATACCAAAGAGGCCCATGACAAAAAAATGGTTAAGTACCCATGTATTTCTAGACAATCTCTGCGTTCTTTTCTAGCTCTTTGTTTGTATAAATCAGAAATCACACATTGAGCAATATACTTCAAGGCTCCCAACACTTCCTATCCTGCACCCTAGCTCCTACGTTCAAAGTTCTAACATGTTCTAATGTTCTAACACAAACAATCTAAGTAAGATATTATACAAACATATGAGTACATCTTTTATTGGGGGGAAGGGGAGTACATGCAAGGAAAGGCTAGAACTGTGATTGTGCTGGTGCAGACAACTTTCTGTATAAAACTGCTCCCCACCCCCATGCAAACAAGACACTCCTGTATCATTTACAGCTTTGGAAAGTTCGGGGAGGCATTAAGAAGTGAAATAACTCAGCCATTGTCACACATCGACAGTATGTGTCCAAAGTTGTACTTGAACCTAGGTCTTCCTGAATCCAATTCCAACATTCTCTCCACTATGCTGAGCTGCCTCTCAAGTCATGTAATATATTAATTAAATGATATATTCATGCAATCACATAATGCAATACTGTAAGTCATTAAGAAGAGGTATGTTAGTAGGAAATGCATTACCTCTAGCAGATGAAAACTTGAGATACCAAATATTCCTCAGCTCATTAGCCCTTATTCCAGGGGAGTAGGTAGGGTCAGGAAAATATTCAACAGACCAGGAAATGCCATCATAAAATTGGTGGAAATTTTAAAATTACTTCCACCAAGTATGAAATTGCAATATTATTCAAACCCAAAGCAGTCTTGCTGAGTAGCACAAAAAGTTAAGCACTCACTTGACCATTCATTCTGAGGTTTTTTCATCCCATCACCAAAATCTCAGATGTTTAGTGTTAATTAAGGTAAGGACTCATGTGAGCATTGCATTTTTTAATGATCACTTTTGGGCATTTAGGGGAGACAGTCTTTGGAGCTCCACTTACTCAATGAATTCACTTTCAAGGCTAGTTTTCTTCACTCCAAGTATCCTAACCTAAAATTAAGGTTGGAAACACAATAGAGAATTGTATCCTGCTTACCTGAAGCTGGATACTTTAGAGTTCTATGATTTCCTGTTTCCCAGAACCCTAGCTTATGCAACAGAAGAAAAAAAAAAGTACTTTCTTCAGCAGCAGTTCTCACATTTTGATGATTTACGTGGAAATGAATCATGTGTAAACATGTTTATCCTTCCTCTGAATTTCACAGGGGTAAAATTGCTCAAGAGGAAAAAATGAATGTTAGGTTTTATGAAATCAAACCTAGCTTGTCACATTCAGGTTCATTTGCACAGGGAGATGGGAATAAATTTTGTTTCATGTCTCCCTGACTATATCAATTATAGAATCATAGAATGTCAGAGCTGGAAAGGACCTTAGAAGCTATGTGGTCTGGCTGCCTCATTTTGCAGAGGAGTCCTCAAGATTTCATTTTGTTCCAATGGACCAAGGACAGACCTGAGTGTCAGGAAACTTAGACTGCCCTTCACTGTTCGTTCTCTCTCTCTCTCTCTCTCTCTCTCTCTCTCTCTCTCTCTCTCTCTCTCTCTCTCTCTCTCTCTCTCTCTCTCTCTCTCTCTCTCTCTCTCTCTTTTTTTCTCTTTCTCTCCCCACCCCCTCCACACACAATACCATGAAGTGACAAACAGCAAAGACAAAAATCTTTCTTTTCCTTTTTAAAGAAAACATACCAGGTCTGTTATTCCGCATTGCAGGGTCATGGGCATCACTTCATATCTCCATGTTTCACGTCACCACCTGTGAAATCGTTCTTAACAATATTTTCCTCATTGAGACACTTTGCATGTTAAGATGAGGGGGAAAACAACTTTATTCTGAAGTGCTTAATGACTATAATCCTACCCATTCATATTTCATCTACCCTTGAAGTCCAACATCCTACCCAATGATATCTGTTCATGTGGCTCTCTCTTGCTTCTAACTCCTCTGCATTTATTGTCTGTGCCCTCACAGTGAGTCCTTTCTTATTCACAGACCCTTTCTAAATGGCTATACCATATTACAAAGTGCTTTATTATATAGGTTCAAGTCATAGGGCACAGAACTCTAAGGTCTGTTAATATCAACCTTATTACTTTACAGATGAAGCCCAGTGAGGATCAATGGCCTGGTAATATTTATACTGGTAAGTATAAGTATTATAAGTAATACTGGTATACTTAGAAGTAATAAGTAGCACAGCTGAGATTTGAACATCAACCCTTTGGCTTTAAATCCAGTGGTCTTTCCACTATCCCATGCTATCTTTTGCTCTATAGGACCATAGATTTTAGCTGGAAGGGACTTTAGAGGTCATTTAGTCCAGCCTCTTCATTTTACAGATTAGGAAGCTATATTCTGCTGCCTTGTTGTCTGATCATTCATTTCCAGAGATTGTGTCTCCCCAACGACATCATAAATCCCTTGTGGTCAGTGCTTGAATAGCATATGCTATTTGTAACCCACCATGGCCAGCATAGTGCTGGGCATATAGAAACATTCAGTAAATGCCTGTTAATTGGAAAATAACACCTAGTCTGCAGATACTAAATCTGAACATGAAGGAAGATAAAATACTCAGAAATAAAAGTACCTTTTCCGAGTCTGATTTCTCAATATGGCCTGGGTCTGTTTAGATGCAGTGGTCATCTGTTTTCTCCTCTGTCTCCCATCTGGTTGGGCTCTTTTCACCCAGTTTAACAAGCTCAGGAATGTTTGCAGTTGAAAAGCCCAGTGTTTCCTTTGGCTCCTCTTCATCTGCAACTTGCCCCAGGCTCCTCATGTCCATTAGCATTTGCACATAGTTCAGTGCACAGAGCTCATCCAGCTGACTCAGGGGGGAAAAGCAAACTATTCCCAGAATGCCTAGTTAGGGATGCTTCTGAAATGCTTTCCTTTTATTAAAGGTAATAAATATATTCTAGACTTACATGGAATCAACTGACCCCAGTGTGTAAAATAGGAAAATAAACCTAATCTCAGCTCAGCTGTCACCATTCAGTTCCGTGTCCTGTTCAGTATTGTAGCATAATAATGGCTTATTCTATTTCTCTCTTAATATTGTTTTCCTATGATGTGTATTGACTTTGCGTTGGCAAGAAGCACCAAGTTCAGAGTTGGCCTCCCTCTGAAGTACAAATACTAGATCTGAACCACCTGGAAGCACAGAAGCAAAATGGCTTAGTGTTTTGGAACTCAAGCGTTTTCAGTATTCCCTCAGTATCTCTCAGAATAAAGCACAATTCTACATTTATCAATATTACAAATGGAAAACTTCAGATTTCTTTTTTGCCCACCTCTTTCTATATGGTACAGTCAAGTGCTGGACTTTGACTTAGTTGAGACCTGATTTCAAAGTTCAGTTCTCACACTGCATGTGACCCAAGTCAATTCATCTCTTTGAACCTTGGTTTTCTCATCTGTTAAATGGGATTCATATTCTCACTAAAGGGGTCATATGAGAAAGGGATTTGGTAAGCCTTGATATTCTATCAAATTGTGTGATATCATCATCCTCATGATTATCCTGCACAAGCTCTTGCTGCTACCTTAAGACCTTTGAAATCAACTTACCTTCTTGATATTTTTCCTGGTTAAATATTTATGAGGCAAATCTTTATGAAACCAAATGACTCAAGAGCACCAAATAGAGTATTGGTGAAAAAAAGGAAGTCATAAAAAACCAGCCAGTGGGCAGACTTCTCTGCAGGAAAATGCTGACATATCTACCTAGACAACTTAACTCACATCCATCTGCAAGTCTCTACTGACATCACAGCTACCCTAGTCCTAGCCGTCATCACATCTCACCCAGTCTAGTGATCAATAAATTAATATTTATAAAGACTTAAAAACAGCACCTTGCACATAGTAGGTATTTAATAAATGCTTGCTCCCTTTTCCCCCATTTCAATTTCTTCTTCCTTGGTGTCTAAGCTTCCAGTCCTCCTCTCTCCAACCCAGCCTCCACACAGATGCCAAGGTAATTTTCCTGGAGTACGGGTCTGACCGTATCACCCCTAAACTTAATAAATCCCCAAGGTTAACTATATACTTTGGATCAAATACAAACTCCTCAATTTGAATGTTAAAAACCTTTACAACCTGGCTCCGCTCACCTTTCCAATCTTAATAGATATCACTATCTTTTTCTGCACTATGTGGTCTAGCTCCAGCCAAACCCAAAATGGCCTTTCTGGTGTTTCTCACATATAACATCCCATCTCCCATGGCAGCAACTTTGCACAGGCTGTTCCTCATGCCTTGAATACGCTCCCTTCTCACCTCCATCTCTTTGAATTCCACGTCTCCTCCAAAACGTTGCTAAAGTACACTTCTCTACATGAATTTTTTTTCTGATCCCACCAAACCCCAGAAGCAAGTGACCATCGCCCACTTCCTCTCAATTTATCTTGCACTTATTTTGTGCCTACAAAGTAGATTTATGAACATGTCATCTCTCCTGATAAAATGTAAGCTCCTGGAGGGTAAGAATTGTTTCATTTTTAAAGTTAGATCCCCAGTGCACATTAGGTCCTGGCATATAGTAATCACACAACAAACATTTATTAAGCACCTACTATCGGGCACTGTGCTAAGTACTAAGGATGCAAAAAGAGGCAAAAGTTGGTCCCTGTTCTTCAAGGAGTTTGCAATCGAATGGGGAGGCAACATGCAAACAAATATATACAAACAGGCTATATACAGGATAAACAGATAATAAGTAATACAGGAAAGTCACTGAAATTGAGAAGGGATGGAGAAGGCTTCCTGCAGAAGGTGGGATTTTAGTTGTGAATTAAAGTCATTAAGTCAGTAGTAAGAGTAGAGAAGGAAGAGCATTCTAGACTTGGAGGACAGCCAGAGAAAATGCTTGGAGCCAAGAGATGGAGTGTCTTGTTTGTGAAGCAGCCAGGAGGTCAGTATAACTGGATGAGTACATGTCAAAGAGCAAGATATAGGAAGATTGGAAAGGTCTTGAAAGACCATAAAGAAAGACTAGGAAGGTTAAGTTAAGAAGGACTTTGAATGACAGAGCATTTTTTGTTTGATTCTGGAAGTAATAGGGAGCCATGAGAGTTTATTGAAGGGGAGTTGATAAGATTGGACCTAAGCTTTAGGAAAGTCACTTTAGTGACGATGAAAATCTATACATGATCTCTTCTGAGATTACTTTGTGTTTACTCACCTATGTCCATGTTGTTGTTGTTGTTGTTATTGTTTTCATCAGTAAAATGTAAATTCCCTGAGGGCACAGACTGTTACATTTTTGCCTTTGGATCCATCCACAGGGTCCATCATAATAAGCACTTGATAAATGTTTTTTGAATTTGGTCAAATTCATTAACTGGTTTTCCTGGGAATTCTCTCCTCAAGTGTAGACTGCAAGTTCAGTTATGACTGCTCCTTCTGCCTAATACTTCACTGGAAAGCTAAGACCATTAACCAGGAATTCCCTCTTCTCCCCTTTCCCTCATCTTCTATCACTCATGTATCTTTCTCCACTCTTTGTTCCTTCTACCCTGTCTCATATAAAGAGATGGCCTATCTTCTTGACAAGGCAAACTCCTCTGTACGCTCTCTTCATACCTTTCCATCTCAACTTCTCCACAGATTCTCTCTTTCTCTCTCTCTCTCTCTCTCTCTCTCTCTCTCTCTCTCTCTCTCTATCTCTCTTTCTCTGTCTGTCTCTGTCTTTTTTTCTCTCATCTTCAATATCTCTCTATTAGGGCACCTTCCCTGTTGCCTACAAATACATTCATGTCTCTCTTATTCTTTTTTTTTAATCAAATCCTTACTTAATCTGATCATTTCTGCTAGCATCATTCTTTATCTCTCCTCCCCTTCTCTATTAAACTTCATGAGAAATCTAGCTACACTCACTGTCTCTACTTCCTTTTCTGTCACTTAATTCTTTTTTTTTTTTTGGTGAGGCAATTGGGGGTAAGTGACTTGCCCAGGGTCACACAGCTAGTAAGTGTCAAGTGTCTTGTCTGAGGCTAAATTTGAACTCAGGTCCTCCTGATTCCAGGGCACCAGTGCTCTATCCACTGCACCACCTAGCTGCCCCTCTCTCACTTAATTCTAAACCCTCTCTCCCACTTAATTCTAAACCCACTGTAATGTGGCTTCCAATCTCATCATTCAGCTGACACTGCACTCTCCAAGGTCAATAGTGATTTCTTAATTGCCAAATCTAATGGTCTTTTCTTCTTATTCTTCTTGACTTCTCAATAGCCTTTGACACTGTCTTATGGATATTCTCTCCTTTTCTCCAGGTTTTTGTGACACTCTCTTTTCTGCATCTCTTCTTACCTTTTTGACTACTTTTCTCACTCTCCTTTGCTGGAACTTCATCTAGGCCATACCCATTAACTATAGGTATTCCCAAAGGCTCTGTCATGAGCTGTTATCTCTTTTCACTCTATACTATCTTACAGGATACTCTTTTCAACTCCCTTTGGTCCAATTATCATCACAATGAAAATATTTCCCAGATCTATGTATCCAAACCACTGTAATAAGTCCCAAACCTCTCATAAGTTCCAGTCTTTCACCCACCACCTTTTGAACATCTCAAAATGGATGTCCTACGTGCATCTCAAATTTAATATGTTCAAAGCTGAATTCATTACCTTTCCCTCAAACTGTTCTCTCTTTCAAATTTCCCTGCTAATGTTGAAGAAAACACCATCCTCCCATGTATCCAGGCAGACAACCATCTCTTGCACTCATCACATGTAATCTAATATGTTGCTAAATACTATAATTTTTAATTTTACAATATCTCTTTTATATGTCCCCTTTTCTAACTTACAAGTCCATTGCCCTAGTGCAAACTCTTGTGACTTCACACCAGGACTATTGTAGTAACCTTCAGATTGGTCTCTCTGCCTTGAGTATCTCCCCACTTCAATTCATCCTCTACTTAGCTACCAAAGCAAGTCTCATAAACTGTAATACTTAGCAGATCGCTGCATATGCAATAAACTCCAGTAGCTCTGTGCTAGCCTTTGTGGGGAACACAAAAATAACCTAGGTTTTCAGAGGGACTATCTTCCTTATTACCTTTGGTTTTCATCCAGTATCTAAAACAATGCTTTAGGTATATGTAGGGCTCAATAAATGATCGACAAATGAATATATCTATTAATCTCTTGCTGATCCATACTAATAAAGGGGTGATCCATCCTATTAAGTCATACAGGTCATCCAAATGCCATTGCTGTTTGACTTTGGAGTACAATATAAGCCTTTGCTAACAGATTTAACTTTTTTAGGCTTTACTTTCATGTTTCACATTATTATTTCTTTTCATTCCCTAAGCAATTTCCCCAAGGCTGGCTCTGAGTCCAGAATGGTAGCCAGGAGTGTGTTGGGTCATGTGAAGGAGACTCCCTGGAATTTTAATGTGCTACGGACAAGCAAATGTTGACCCAGAGTGTTCAATTCTGTTGAATTTATAGCAATATTTCACAAAACAATATAACTTGTTAAAGAGAAAAATTAAACCTGTCAACCAACTCTTTTGTCTATGCTAATAGCGCTCAAAGGATGTGCATCAAATTGTAGGAAACTTATTTTTGCCATCATATGCATATGCGGTTTCCTCTTCCTATCATGTGCCACTATTCCTGATGACAAAGAATAATATTGTGCCATGAACAAAAAAAAAAGCTTG